CCTCGTTATTTCTGCTGTAAAATTTGTTTTAATAATTTTTTCTGGAGACTTAAGAGTACTCCTTTGAGAAAATTAGTATGTTTTGTTCAGCTTTTTATGCTCTTTCGAATGATATAATTTTTATTGAACTTGCTAAATTCAACGCTGTTATTTTGTTTGGATTTCATTCAATAAAATATATTTAAAATAGAATAAGTACGAATAATACGAGTGCATTGATTATCTTATTAGAATTTATTCAAAAACCTTGGGAATATTTCGAACTGATCCTCAGTCCATTTCCAGCACAAATGGCAAGTAAACAATAAAAAATATTCTAATGTATAACTATTCTTTTCTTTCCGTTTACATTGGAATGCAAGGGGGGAAATGTTTACTTGTGGCATTTCAATGGAAAAGAAAAGAAAAGAATAGTTATACTTTAAAATTTTTTTATTTTTTACTTGTCACTTGTGCTGAAAATGGACTGAAGATTGGTCCGAAATATTCACAAGTTTTTTTTTAAACAAATTCAAATAAAATGATCAATGAACTCTTATTATTCGTTATTAGTCTATTTAAAAAATATTTCATTGAACGAAATCCATATTATTAAACACCTGTATTCAAATTATGAGAAAGATATAGTGAAAGATATAAGAAGTTATGAAAAACTATTCTTAAAACTCTTAAAAACGAAATGTGATAGTGAATTTGTCAGAATTGGTTTAATGTATAATTTAACACCAAAGTTCGTCAAATATAAATTTTAGAATAAAACGTATATGAATCAGGAAGTTTATCAACAACATCAACGGTATTATTTACAATTCGAATATTATAACAAATGCAAACAAATATACAAACTAGAAGAACAAAATCAAAAATTATTATCAACAATTAATGATAAAATCAATGCATTTGAATGTCAACTATTAAAACAACATTTTGATAGATCAAAACAAAAAGAAGAAACAAAAATTAGAACAATTCATAAAGATAAAATACAACATCTATCCAAAGGTAATATTAAATTAGACCAAGTTGATGTCAAAAAAGTTATGCACAATATCTCGTCTCGTGAAGTGTTTGCTGAAGAAGAATCTATTGTATTATAAGATTTACAGTTCTGTATTGAAGCAAAAATCAAAGGCATTACCAAATTTAAAACAAATATTGAAATGCTGGCTTATAACATCTTAAAACAACTAGAAGAATCAGAAATAAAATCTTTAGATCAATGTATTTTTAATGGTACAAAAGGAGCAGCTTATCAATCGTTAAAAATGAACAAAAAAAAGTAAATTATAAATACTGATCCAAGTGAATTAACAACATTAAAAGTATTAATGAGAGATGAAACTATTGTTATGATGGAAGCTGATAGAAGATCATTATGTGTTACTATAGATAATAAACAATATAAAATTAAAGTGGAAGAATTACGATCAACAGGCGAAACATGTCAAAAAATGAAAGATATAGATGAAATTGAAAATCAAAATACAATTGAAAATATTATGGAAAAGATGGAAAATAAATTAAATTATCGTATATATGATTTTAAAAAGTATAAGAGGTTGACTAAACAAGATTATAATTTCATAAGAACATCTGGATCAAGGTGTGCCGTCGTATATTATCAACCAAAAATTCATAAACAAGAAATATCCTTAAGATCGATCATTTCTACAACAAACAACTACAACTATAAATTAGCTAAATATTTAACAACATTACTTGAAAAAGCAAGAACGAAACTAAAATCATATATTAAAGACTCATCTACATTTGCTAAACTGATCCAACAACAAAAACCACAGAGAAATGATTTAATGTTAAGTTTAGATGTTGAACCGCTCTTCACAAATATACCAGTTCATGAAACAATTTATTTACCTATTAAAATATTTATGAAAAAGAAACAACAAGATAATGAATGTACAAAATTAAATAAAAAAGATTTCGCTTACTCGATTTAGCTGTGAACAATGTACTATTCAGAATTTATGATAAATTATATTTATCAGTAGATGGAGTCAGTATGGGTAGTCCTTTGACTCCCATACTAACTGATATGTTCATGGAACATATCGAATAGGGATTAGGAAAATTGGAAGATAATAACAAAATTAAATTTTATAGAAAATACATCGACGACACATTTATTATTTTAAATGGAAAATAAAGTAATATTGAAAAATTATTAAATTACGCTAGTTCATTAAATCCGACTCTCAGATTTACAAATGAAATCGAAGAAGATTCTGAATTATCATTCTTAGATGTAAAAGTGATAAAGCAACGTAAAAAATTTGAAACAACAATTCACAAAAAGAAAACACATACAGATCAATTATTAAAATGGTTCAGCTGCCAAGCAAAGAAATATAAAATAGGCTTAATAAAAACTCAAACATTTTGTACATTAAATATTTGTTCATCAAAAACTTTATTAATAGAACAATGTAATTTAATTGAAAAACCATTAATCAAAAATTCATATGCAGCTAATTTAGTAAAAAGAAAAATTAATAATATAATACAACAATTTGATCGACTTAATTCACCAATTCTAACAAACAGGACTTTGTTTGAAGTTAGTCTTCTTTATCAAAATGTATAACTATATTTGCTTTATTCAATGTTATTTTTTTTTTTTTGAAAGTAAAATTAGAAAGTTGATCAGAATAGTGTTCATAACGATCAGCGATTTCATTTGATTGCTATGTTCAACAAAACTTATCTAGTAAGCATTTTGAAAAGGTGCCTGATCTCAATTTTATGATGAATTAAATACGAATGAATAAATTATCAATAGATGATATACCGATTACTTAGACAATGATAAAAAGTACAGCAGTTTGCAAAACCATGACATCAGTAACACTGAGATTCACACGAATATCTTCATATGATTGAATACTATTGGTGTTCATAATTAACTTCTTGTTTTCCTTCTTATATCATTTTACTATTGTAGATTCATGAGAATAGATATTTAAAAAAGAATTAAAAGCTTTCCGATAGATCTTAGTCTAGCTTGTTATTCAAGAAACCTGGCTTTTTTTCTGAAATATATATACGTATTTCATTTCTAGTTCTGATACACGTTGTTGATGATCTTTTGTTTAATATAATGCAAGTACTATACTTAAACAAATCCGCTGTTTCTCAAAAATGCTTTTTAGTTGATAAGAGTTTAGTTTTGTGGAGTGGGAATAGATTATCTGTTAGATTCTTCAATAACAGAAGGCTGTGCTTGTGGTTGTATATGTAAAACAGATAGCCTCCGTAATGTGTGAAAATGTTGTTTTGGGTTGACTTGACCAAGATTATGCTATTGAAGGAGAAACGATGGCCAATGAAATTACAATATTTTGTCGATTCTGTGCAATGAATGTAGAATAAAAACAGGTGACTACGTCACATAGTGCATGTTTTAGCGAATATTCAACTGCCTCTTCATCAACGTCGATTAATTGATGGGAACGATCAGGGACAGAGCAAGCAAAACGACGGTAATATTTGTATGAAACAAAGGCAATATATGATAAATAAATCATGCTTTATTAGTCTATATATAGATATTTGTAGTCAAACATCGACCTGATTTTGCGGTGAATATATAGGCAACAGAGCGCGTTATTCTCACTCATAGAACAAGATCGATAGATTACAGTGTTATTATGCTGATAAACATACAAGATTTCACACAAATTCAACGAGTAAGTGTATGTCTTTCGAAAGTCCAGTCTCTTTGGAAAGCGTTCGTAGTCAGGAGTATTGAGCGAATTTTCTAGTGCTCAGGTAGAACCTCTAAATCTTTATAGTGTTATTTTCGTATCGTTGCGATTGTTTTTTTTTTGAGAGGAAAACTTTTCGAAATTCTGTATGAAATGAACTCCAGAAATTAGCTACTATAAAGCTACTCTTCAATGCCATCGTTATCCATCATTTTGAGTTAATCCTTTAAGTATGTGCTGACTTCAATGCACTCTGATTAAGAGCACCATCCTGTCTTCAATCCGTTGATATTCTTTAAATTTATCAGTTCAACACTATTATTATCTTGTGAAGAGCATATCTCGGTCATTTTTCTACATTTATTTTCGTGTAACTCCTCATTCAGAAGCGCAGTGACACGGCTATCTTCAGTAAGAATTCATTAACCAATCAGTTCAAAATAACGGAGATCTAACTATCGTATTGAAAATCTTCATTAAGTAGTAGTAAGCCCTGATTTTGAATCTGGTATCGATAATTCAAGCTGGTCTCAATCTATGCAATCTAAAGTTTTAGTAATATGTTATCATAAACCCAAATATTTGTTATGAAATTTTTATAACTTTAGCTCAACGTAGAGGCGTGATAGAATCATTGGAAAATTTCACCGCAGCACAGCGTGGCAATTGATGGAATTGTAATATTATGAACGAGCTTCCGAACCAAGAAATTTGGTATACATGTTTGCAGTTAGTGCTTAAAAACAAGCAGCCATAAATCATTTGAATACGAAATGATAAACAAACATTTCCTTAGATGGTATTTCATTTATACTTGTTCAAAAAACGATAAACATCGCATCTATGCACATGATGCTCTTCTCTACTAGTCATTTGACATTTAGTGATGAGAAAAAGCTCTTTTTGAGTCAGCGCATCATAGATGACATAAAGACAAATGTAATTGATGAAGCAAAAATCTTATGATATCAGCAAAATGGTTTTGGAACCAAATCTATCGAAATAAAGACATACTTTATGCTTAGATACACTGTTTCTCGTTCGTGGAACAAGTCTAAATGAAATATCATCTAAGAAAATGTTCGTTCGCCGTTTCGTATTCGAATGATTTATTCTTACTTTTTTTAGCTCTTGCAAACATATATACCAAATTTCTTGGATCTCAAGCTCGTTGCATAATACTACACTTCCATCAGTTGGTAAGCTATGCTGTGATGAGTTTTTCCGATGGCTCTATCACGTCTCTACATTGATCTACGGTTGTGAGAATTTCATCAGAAACTTTCAGGCCTATAATAATATATTACTAAGTTTTTCAACTGAATTGATCGAGACCAGCTTGAGTTATCGATACTAGGTAGAAGTGGTATTATCCTCTTAATTTATTTTAAACTTAAATTCTTGTCAATTTAAATTTAAAATTAATTTAAATTTTCATGTGGAATAAATTCAAAATTTATTTCTGGATTTAATAACTTTTTTTAAATTTAAATTGATCATCTCTATTGTCAGAATACATGACTTCAAAAAAAACTAAATAAAAATTAAAAAAATAAACTGATATCATATGTTAAAATCCGATCATCGGAACAAAAGACTCCATATAAAAAAGTCGTGCTTCGTTGCTGCTGTTTTCTATTGATACAAAAATACTCATAAAAATATGTTTGATAGCATACTTTCGAGATGAAAGGTTGCTTTTTTCCAAGAGACAACCAAACAAATTTAAATTTAACTTAAATTAATTTAAATTACATTTAAATTAGTTTAACTTAAATTTAACTCGACTAAAAGTGATATAATATAATTTCAATTGGATTTAAATTAGTTTTGATTGGATTTAAATCAATTTAAAGGAATTTAAGTTTACATATTAAATTTAAATTTTTTAAAATTTATGCCTGGATTTAATTATTATTTTAAACGTAAATTAATCAGCCCTAATACCAGGCTCAAAATCGAGACTCACTACTGCTTAACGAAGATTTTCAGTACGATGATCAGATCTTTCTAGTTTTGAACTGATTCCTTAGCAAATTCGCATTGAAGATAGATGCGTCACTCGAGTTTCGGATGAAAGATTGTGCGAAAATGAATGTCAAAAAATGACTGAGATATGATCTTCACAAGATGGTAATAGTGTTGAACTCATAACTCTAGCCAATATCAACGAATTGAAGGCAGGACAATGCTTCTGATCAGGGTGCACTGAGACTAGCACGTTCTCAAAATATCAACTCAAAATGATGGAAAACGATGGCATTTCAAAAGAGCGATAGCTACTTTTATGAAAAACTGTAATCCAAGAATTTTTAAGAATTTGACGGAGTCTTTCAAGCCCCTATCAATTATCAATACGTCTTCGTAAAGAACATGAGCTGTAAATCAGATAGTGCAGTCAGAGTAAGAACGGTTGACCTATTGTCAAATCTTCAAAAAGTTATTGCGGAATAGTTTTTTAAGAATCATGGCAGTAGCCTGACCCTGAAAAATTTTGATGATTATGAGTTCACTGTGAATATAGTAGGCATCAGTAAAATTTCTAAAGTTTCTGTGAAAGTGAATAGAACTGAATTTATATTGAGTTTGTAACAAATTTCGCATGAACTTTCCCTTTACATTTTAATCTACTTATGTATCTGCCACATATATTCGTTCATTAATGCAGAGTTTAGGCATGCTTGATAAAAAGAATGTAATTAGAAGAGGACTGTAAAATAAGACAATGATAAAAGGTCGATTAATCACATTGAATGGAAGCGAAGACAAACTATTAATCGTGGCTAGAATTTCGTAGAAACTATTTCAACAACTAGTGTAGAAATTACGACGTATAATATCAGAAATTCCCGACTATATTTCTTTCATAAGTAGTAAATCCCAGTCAGATTTAAAGATGGCATTTAAACTCTAAAAATACTCTAATTAAATAGCTAAAGTTTAAAGTAAGCTTAAAATGCCATCCTTACTGAGAATATCTGTTAGTACTGTCCATGTACTCCATATATATTAGTGAAATAAATGCCTTCTTTTGTTTATAACTGGTAATATTGATATGTAACACACCAATGAAATTAAGGACAATGTCACTTTCCTTATTGTTTTTCCCTCATCAACCACTACAGATAGACCAAAAAAGCCTGTAATTTCATTCATATGATCTATTCACGATGTCTCATTATTATCGGGTAATCTAGATAAAATTTTCATGCTAGTATCTTATTGATATTTCTTGC